GGAGCGCTTCCGGCCCCAGGGATCGGTGGGGGACCCGGTGGAGGCGGAGGCGGAGGTGCTGGAGGCGCACTGCCAGCGCCGGGGACCGGCGGGGGGCCGGGGGGAGGCGGAGGCGGATGAGCAGCGCTGGGCATGGGAGGAGGCGGTGGAGGAGGAGGAGGAGCAGCACTTCCAACGCCTGGTGAGGGAAACGGCGGTGGCGGCGGCACCGAAGGAGGAGCGCTGACTGCAGGTAGAGGAGGAGGCGGCGGCGGCGGAGCTGGAGCGCTGCTGGCTACCGGCACGGGAGGCGGTGGAGGCGGCGGAGCGTGGCTGACCGCAGGCGGAGGAGGCACCGGTCGAGCACTCGGCGGCGGCAATGGAGGAGCACTCGAGCTCGGCACCTTGGGAGGCAGCGGCGGAGGGAGAGCCACGGGGGCCGGAGCGGCGGCATCGTTGCCTCGAGGAGGCGGGGGAGGAGGCACGGGTCCGCGACTTGGAGGCGCAGGGACGCGCTGGCCGGTGAAGGGAGGTGGGACACCGAACTTGTGATGCTGATCTTCAGAGTCGATGGGCGTTTTAGCGGGCCGCGGGGGAGGAGGAGGTCCCGGGACGGACGGAGCAGTAGCAGCAGGAGCGGGCTTCTTCCTCTCGTTGACCTGATGCGCAAACTTGCCTGCGTCGGGCAAGGGAGGAGGGGCGTTGAATCTCGGCCGAGGAGGGGACGGTGCTCTTGGTGGGGTGGGATCCCCATCGACCTTGGCACCCGACCGCCTTGGAGCTGGAGGAGGTGGTGGTCCGGCTCTCCTCGCAGAAGGCGAGCTGTTGATAGCAGAAGCGGCCGCGGGAGCAGATGCAGGCGGAGGAGGAGGCGGCGGCGGCGCCCTCACGGCGTGGCCGTTGGTCGAAGGCGAGGGCAGCGCAGGGGGGGCTGGCGGGGCGGGAGGCGGTGCTGCTTCGCTCTGCAGCTTGGCTTGTTCTTCTCGCAGGAAGTCGACAATGAACTCCTGGTTGTCCTTGATGAAGTCGTCCGTCAATCCCTTGTCGCTCAGGTCCTGGCCGAAGTGCTCGCGCCACATGGGATCAAAGGCATCCAGGAGGGCGAACTCAGAACCGCCCCTGGCGTCGTCGAAGCTGACCGAAGAGCCAGAGTTGTGAGAAAAGCCCGATAAGTTGGAGGTCGTCGTGTCGGGCATCATCGAGACGCTTGAGTGTCGGTGGAAGATGTTCCCCAGTAGGCTGTGTTTCTGGCCTCCCGATGCATGCGCAGAACCGCCAAAGGGCGTCGCTCTCGTGGCTCGGCTGGCGTTCTTTTCCCGCTCGTCCATTTTCTTCTTGAACTGCTTAGCCTCTTTCTCATCGACGAAGCTGAGTCCGGCGAGGCACTCTTCCAGCTCGAACGTATGAAAGAAGGTTCGGTCTTGGTTGTAGCTCCACGTATCGAAGATTTCTTGGTCCCAGATGACCCCGCGGTTGGAGGGCTGTTTCATGTTGCCAAAAACTGTTAACGTGGTGATCTCTTTCTCTCACACTCTCACTCTTCTCCGCTTCCTGTTTTCTTCTTCACTTCTTCGTCTCTGACTCATAGCTCGCGTTCGCTTCCAGAATTCCTCTGACTGTGCTGAAGGGACGGGCCATGTACGGGCTTTTTGAAGGGAAGGTAATCGGGGGGGGGGGGGGG